CTCCCTCTCTCCCTCTCTCCCTCTTTCTCTCTCTCTTACAAATAATTGCACTGCACTCTGAAAGGAAGCTCTCTCCGAGGAATCAAACAAGAGACAGACGACATCATAGCCTTCCAGTAGAGAACCAACCACAAGAGTATTGTCATCAAAGTGTTCAAGAGGATCGTAACTGGACTCATGAAGCTAAAGGAAAAAGAAATACTATACAATAGAATATTATAAATGACAAAAATAAAGTGTATGTACAGTCAAGCCTGCTATTGTGGACAGTTTAAAATAAGGACACTTCTATAATCAGGACAGGTAGTATCAATCCCAATACAATAGTAATGTGTATTAATGAACCTCTGAAATAAGGACACCTCTTTAATAAGGACTAATTTATTGGGTCCCAAGGTGCCTGGAATTGACAGGTTTGAGTGTACATGTACAATCAGACAACGTTATAATGAACAATGACATGCATACATGTACATGTACATGAATGTGAATGGGTCAGCATGGCCAGTTCAATTTGGCTCAGTTCAGTAGCACAAACATACACACATGTACATGTAGTGTCATTTATTAATTGACTGTGTATGATAGTAAGAATCCTTCAGAAGTTCTTCTATTGGAGTCTCACACTACAGAGTCACTGCCAGTTGGCATAGTACAAGTAGTAAACTTACTACAAGGTAGATACGACGATTAGCAGACGTGACAGACTTTATACAAATGACCTCATCTTCATCGCCATCTTTAGTGACATCCTAGAGAGAGAAGAGAATTAAAATGGATATGTAAATGTAATTGTTAAGAATAAGCATAGTATAATAATTCCAGACCTTCATCTTGCTGATTAATGATCGGCAGAATGTTGTCTTTCCGCAGCCACGCCCTCCCATCACACGACAGCGAAAAACACTCTTCTCATGCCCACGGGGCTGGACTTCTATTAGAACAATGATAGAACACATTTACATGTACACAGCACATGATTGTGTGTTGGTTGCTATTACCTCTAACAGCTGATGCAAGTCCGCCCTTTTCAATGACCGAGTATCCAACATGAGCCAAGAAACTAGTTGTACATGTGTAGTCTAGATTAGTTTGAAGACTGAAGGAGAGGGAGGGAGAGGGAGGGAGAGGGAGGGAGGGAGAAAGAGGGAGAGAGAGAGAGAGGGGGGGAGAAAGAGAGAGAAGAAAATAAAAGAAGGAATATAAATTACAAAGATCTAAATATTGAGTATTTGCTTTGTTCTTACGTCCAGAATGCCAGAAACCCCTCCAGAGTGACCCACCCCTTGTTGTTAGTATCTACAGTGTGACTTATCAGATCATCCCACATGAACTCAGGACATATACTAAACAGATCCTATCAAGATATACATGTAGCAGCATTGAAACCTCACTATATCAATAGTAATATCAATATCAGTGTTAATCAATATCAGTGTTAGTATCAGTGTTAATATCAAATGTGCATCAAAATCAATAATTTCTTACCTCTTGTTCAGTAGGAGAGAGTGCTTGATCACCATCCTAATGTATGTAATATACAATATTGATCTCATTCAGTAGGTGTACATGTATATATGTAGGACATGTACATTATGTGTGTCATAGGCGGCTGCAGGATTTCACTGCAAGTAGGGCAAAGGTGTGGCTAAAAGTGGGAGTGGTCAAAAAGTAGGTGTGGCTCTGACCACACCCACATGCCTTGCTCTTGAGTTTAAGCCTGTTATGACTTCTATTTCAGCATTTTGGGGAAAAATCCAGTTGAAAAAGGCTCTAAACTACTCAATGAAGAGTTACCCTGCCATTCTTATATTCAAAAGGAGAAAATTCAGCATCTAAAAGACCTCTATCAATATGGAGTATCAGTAGCTAGGTGATTTAGCTGTTGAATGAGTCCTAGCTGACTATGAGGATTAATAATGAAGCTGCTACATGGAGGAGTCAGTTATTCTAGCTGCAGGCTACTATGTCTTCCTGAAGTGACCATAGATATGGACCTATGAAGCTTACTGTGAATAAACCATGCAGTTAGCAGCTTATTCTCCACTAATTATCACTTTGTGGAGCAAAATAATGTAGTTTTTGTCATTAAAATTAGCTATAATTATGAAATAATCATGTCATAACTACTAAATAACTATTAATTAACTGCTAATTATGATGATGTCATCTTCCGGTAAGAAATTCTAGTAGGGCATTGCCCTCATTGCCTGCCCCTGCAGCCGCCTATGATGTGTGTGCCTACCTTATCATATCTATTGAAGAGGTCAGTGAGGAATCTAGTTCCAGACTCACTCAGTTCAACTGTACTCTCTGGAAGAGGATTAAACCTACCAATACATTAATGAGAATAATTATACATGTACTGGCCAAAACTTTACTACCATCAATAGTCCATCATAATAATTCATGTGATAATTAATTTTAGTACATGTACATCATGTACGTGTAAGTTACTAAAACTACATTG